TTTTTTCTTTTTCATTCATTTGAACCTGCTTGGTTTCAGCCCCCGGACTTGAAAGGCGTCATGTGACTTTTGCTGAAGGCAAGCTGTCTGAAATGTAAATACGAACAGGTTCGATGGGATGTAAATTTACATTACGTTTACAATTATTACAGTTAAGGGTAAATGTGTGAAAAATATCTGAAGATCGCCTTGCTGAACCTTGAGATTGCGATCCCCATCATTGACACTGGTCAATACAAACTCTTTGTCACTGTACTATTACTCAAGGAAGAATACGTCAGACATTATGGCAGTGGTTGCTACAATGTGGAATTATATTAATGGTTACTTTTTTATTGTTTTTTGTTCCTTGGGCTGTCTTTTCTCATTTCCCCCCATTTGATTAGTGACAACTCTCATTTCTTCTTACGACAGGGGGGAAAAAACAAGAAATCACTGAATGACTAACCCCAGATTATTCGTTTGTGAACGATTGTCATTGTAAAGGTAGGGCCTCAGTTGAGTCTGCGGTTCTGTCATTAAATTTCGATTTCACAGTAGTATATTTTCACATTTCATGAGCTTTTTAGCAATCTGTAAAGTGGGCTATGACAATTCTTAGATTTGTTTTTAATCTTTAAACATATGCATGTAGACGCATGTACTTTGGCGATCCAACATACTCAAGTCCAGGGTACTGATCTTTCGTCAAAGAATAACTGCTTTGTTAATTAACAAAAAAAAAAATAGCGCTTGTGTCGCAATTCTGAGTCGGCTACTTAACAGTTCTCTCTGCGAGTCGATTCCCCGGTGCCGCAGGTAATCATAAACGATTTGATGATGTCATTGACCTTTTCCGAGTCCGGGGCTCGGGTCCGTGAAGAAGGATGAGGTCAGTGATAGGGGGTAAAGACCGCAAAGGGGTTGATGTAGAAAAGGGGATGATTAGTCACTTGGGCGCCTCACTTGGAACTTCTGGAATCACGCATTGTCTGCCGAACGCTCGGAACGTTCCTCGCTAATATTGTCCCAATTCTGAGAATGGATTCGATTGCGGATGTTTTTTAGACCATTGGTACGCACACCCTTTGAATGCTTAATCTCTAAAATGCGACGCTTTGCCGGCCTTTAGAATATATTGGATAGAGTCCACCTAAAAAAAAAAGCAAACGACGAAATAGCCTCTAGTCCTTTCCAGGGGGAGTATAACACAAGAGTTTAGCTTTTGTTCTCGGTACGTCAGTATTCTAGGTAAGCCACAGGGAAACTCGCTCAAGACAGCTGCCATACAAACTGTTTTTTTTTTTTGTTTTGTTTTCTTCTTGCGCCTCAACTAGATTCTTACAGGCTCTGAGACTGCAGTCTCTAACGAGGAAAGTGTGATCGGCCCAACAGGTCCTGTCCCGGTTTGGAGAGCGGAATGGGCCCAATTCGTCGATCACTGCTCAGGGGCTGAGAGGAGAGAGTAAGAAGACCCTGTGGCTCTTAGGACTTAAAATACTGACATCACATCCTCACAACATTTCAATATTTTTTTTTATTAGTATCACTACTGCCAAGGGCATCGCGGTGGGGTCTGCTGAATGCGACTTCAATGTGTGTGTATTATATATATTCACTCTAGGTTATAAAATAAAACTCCCATGTTTAAAAGCTGCGAGTCGAGCGATCGGCTGAAGTCCCCGGTCTGAGGTACGAGTTCGCTCCCTGCACCTGGCGTTGCGCTGTAATGAAACTCAACCGCTCTCAGCGTCAAAAAGGGAAAATGCCAGAACCATCCGCCCCTCCACGCTATTCAACTCCAATGGCTTTCTGGAGGTGCTGGTTACAACCCCTGGACGTCTTGTGTTTCTCTTATTGCGTATTAATATGAATTCATTCTTAAAGTACAGAAGTCTTTGAATTAGGTTATGCGGCAAAGGCCTAATTCACCATAAAACCGTGTGAAGTGAATATACACCCAGCACAAAGTTGCCATACAATAGGCTGTGTCGTTCAGCGGTGTATTTGTCGGTGCTTTCTTTGGCGTCCTGTCTGTAGGGCTATCAGGTGCAGTCGAGGCTGTGATTTTTTTCACAGGGTTCAGATACATTGGCAGCCCAAACGCACACTATTAATTAATAATATCGACACCGATTTCCACACCTCCTCCGTCTCATTTCAGCAGACTCCTGACTGCTTAGTGTCTGTTACCCTCTTCAAGTTTCTAATGGCACTGTGGAAGCGAAACGGAGCTCTCAGAAGAGACCCTGAGTTCTAAAGTAGTAACGCAATTCAGGTTTGTTGTTGTTGTTGTTGTTGTTGTTGTTGTTGTTGTTGTGGTACGAGATTAAGCAGATGTGTGCTCCATGGTGTTCTCTGACTTAATTATAGTTTTGGACGCATTAGGCAAGAATAAGAGATTGATAACGACAGCTAAAGACTCCCCCATTGTCTCAGTTAGACCATTATCCTGGCTATTATATAACCTAAAATTACTACATAATTTAGGTAGAAGTCAACACTTTTCAAAGTCTGTTTCCATATACGCAAATAACTTTTGTGAGATATCGAAGTTTCTAAGGTAAATTATCAAATTAAAAGAGACATTAAAGGAAAATATTTACATAGCTATTTTCTTGTGATAGAATATTTATAACGCGTTAAAGATTAAACAATAAAGTTGACAGTGTAAGTGTAAAAAATCGACACGAAATGAATATTATCTAAAATACTATAGTATCGTAAGTATCGATGTAGTTTATGAACAAGTTAAACATAAGAAGAGATTTCGTCACGAAAAAAAAAGTAGTTCTGATGGATTAGATTCGGTTTCTAACCAAAAAATAATTTGACTTAATATATCAAGTGTTTCTTTATCAGAGAAAGCTACTGTTTGGGTTTGATATGTTAAAATGTTTAAAATTTTAAAATAGTTATATGCTGATTAATTTGAATAACGAGACATTAGATCATATACTCCAGGAATAAAAAAAATGATGCACTTGTTAAATGAAGTGGAATCAACAGTAATTGATTTATCTCAAACCAGAGGTTAAAGAGAGAATTAGCCAAGTACAACTGGGTATTGCAAGCTACTGGCTTCTCAAATGTCAGATCCCTTCTTTTTTAAATATTATTTCAGCTGCGGGGCATTGCTATGTTAATAGATGTTCCACCAGTTAAATAACGAATTATGTTCATATAACAAATTTTTGAGGAAAAAGATCGAAGTGTATCAATTTTTCTAACTATGGGCAGCGATAGAAAAAAAACACGTCTATTTAGGTTGTATCCCGTAACTAAAATCAAGTATTGTGACGTCTTATAGGGATTTATATGTGCTTAAATATTCTATAACTAATTAATATTTAACTATTTCAGATTCGAATTACTTACGGTATGAAAGATAAATGAAAATGTCTTGTTTACATATGTGCATCGGTTTCTAAAGCGGTAATACATTATAATTACAAAACGACTTAATGTCTTTGAAGCCTTAACTGTTTGGAAATCCCCTAAATATTGCACGATCGGCAAATAAATTGTACATTGTCTTGTAAATTTCACCGTTGCTTGGGATCTTGGGACAGTGCTATTAATCCACAGTTCTACTGAAAACTGATTGAAACAGTTCAAACAATTGCACATCCTAATACGAATGAATGGTGTTTAATAAGATTGCTTTCGTTGAGATGAGTATGTTTTGCTATAGAAGGAACAGCCGTGGATGCCTGTTTATGAATGCTATTGTGTTGCCTGAGGTTACGAACCCACACGCAATCTGACATGCGGCCAGCAAAAATACCCCCCTGAATGACAATGCTTCACTTCACCTGCTACAACACTGTGCATTTCATTTGTGCCAAGGAAATCTACAGCTAGGGTTCATTCACCTCACGATTTTAGAAGAACTCACAGTTAACCAGTATCTCCTGAACAAAATCTAATGACCATTCAGGTGGGGTTTTTGCTTTTGACGCAAAAGACACTCATACTCTTTGCCCAAAGCCGTCTGTGCAAACCGACTTCCCACAGACAATGAAATTCCGAATCCACCAACAATATTCTGCTTCAGTGGAGATTGATTCTGAAGCGCGTGCTATCAATAGACAATCAAACTCGAATCGCGATGTGTTCCAAAATGCTTCAGTTCTCATGAATTACGACACATCAAAACGATCTTGCGTGGTGCTAAGCCATTCAGAAGTCTTTAATTTTTCCGGCCAAAAGTACAAAAACAAAAAAGAAACCTATGTAGTATTAAAGATTTGTACCGATTAGATTTAGGTACCAATTAAGACCATACTCACAAAAATAATAAATACGGATAGAAAAAGATTGATCTAAACATATTTGTATTAACGCACTCATTTAATTGATGATTAAGCACATGGAATCTAATCATTTTTCTTGTGTTTTTGCGTTATAAAAGCTAAATGACGTGACCACAGACAACCAATAAAAGCGCCACATAGTACATAATACACAGAATGATGTGTTTTACCACCTATCGGGTAAGAGCATAAATTAGGTGGAAAATTAGAATATATTTCACAGTGTGCGACATTTCGTTTCGCAGATTATAAATGAATCGTGAGAAAACACTCCTCAGGTATCACATATTATACGCTACTGAAAAAAAAAACCTAAACAGTATCATTCGATTGAGCATAATGTTTTTAAAACTAATTATATTCTTGCTTTGAAAGGTGGATTTTTAGATCTGTTTCGCTTTAGGGTGTGACACTACACACAGTCACTTCAAAAACAGATCAGAAAACATATATGCGCTGTCTCCTACTGTCGATTGACTTCGTAAAAGCTCGGCGGAATATTTGAACGATCCCCCTTCTCTGAACCCGAGGTTGAAAGTAAGTTTTTTATTATACTTGAGGGAAACAATAGGTTCAGATGCTTATTTCTTGGAGGAATTGTCAAGAGAGAGTTAAACTCAATTACTGTAACCATACTGAATAAAAAATACTGCCAAGACCGAAAATACGCCCGGGTGTACCAGCCATTGAAAAAAAAAATCGACATAAAGCGTATCAAATATTTATTTATCTGGGCAACAAAGGACTATGATACATTGACAGGCATGGGAACTATTGCCAGTACAGCTCTATACAATACAACTAAAACCGCCTCCAATCCGGACACTGGACATACAAAATATTGGGTGGTTCCAAACGTTTTGAACTTCTTTAAACAAAAAAAAAATGTGTTTTTTTTTTCTTTTTCAAAAGACAATATCAATTTATTGCTCTTACGGTTGCTTCAAGGGAAGAACAGGAGGTGAAACTTTTTTTTTTTCTTGGCACAACACATAAAGGTTTGTATTTAAAAATAAAAACACAAAACAGTTCAAATTTGCCAGGGCTCCGCGAGTGCCCCGGTCAACATAAACTGAATGTAATAAGAATGATATATGATATATATAGTGAGAGAAAACGGAAGTTTATTTCTGCTTAATTTGTTCAGTTGCTTAAGCGTCGCCTCAACATGCTACAAGAGGGTAAAATTCATATACCCCAGAGAAAGAGCCCCCCCCCCCCCGCCCCAACCTTGTTTTCTAAGTACCATAAAATCACATGATGAACTAACTGAATATTAAAACCCACTAAACAGGAGGCAAACGAGATCACCAGATAAATTAAAAAAAGGGTTTCAACAGACGCACCATATTTACAATTCCCATTAAATTACACATAAATAAATATATACATACATGAACACTGATTCCCTTCTATAAACGCGAATCGTGTTGAATTCAAAAGTTCAAGTCGGTCGCTTTACCTTTGGGAGAGTGAAAAGTCTAGAACTGAAGTCATGACATGGAACTCTGTGATTTGTTTTTTTCTTTCAAGTTTATTATTCACAATACTGATAAAAATTCATCCTCTTTCCCTCCTTTCTCACGTGGCTACAATCGAAAATGCGTGTTATATAAGGGTTGCTGTGCTCCAGTCCGATGCAGCTCTTTCTTTTTTTTAAAAAAAGGAGATACAGAGCGGGGTGAGGTGAGGTGGGGAGGGGAGGGCTGGAGTACATTTTAAGATGTCCACAAAGTTGCCGGGACCGTTTTTTTTTTGTTTGTTTGTTTGTTTTTAATCGAACGGCTCCTTTTCTCGTTTCGGTTTATTCTGTCATTCTTAAAAAGCAGGGAAGCAGAAAAAAAAAAGGCGTCGCTCCCCCCCATCAATTCCCAACGTGGGTGCGTGTCGGTAGAAACAAACTTGTAAAATCGCGAGAGCAGGAAGTGACGAGTCGCATTTTTTTTTTCCTGGGTCAGTAATATTTATAATATATTTATAATATTTATATTTCTGGGGAGAAAAAAAAGGGATCACTTTCGGTGTTTTTCGTCTTTATCTCCACTTTTGGTGCCGTTGTCTGTGTGGCTGTTGGGGTTATTGTTGAGGTACATTTTGTCCATAGCTTTTACAGCCTCTGTGAGATAGTTCTGTAGCGCCGTGAGCGCGGCGCACATCGCAGGGGTTCCGAATCCGTGGGAAATTAGGCTGAAATGGGTCAAACAGCTTTGAATCCCTGGCTCAAGGATCGGCTGTGGTCGAGAGTTCCCCAAGGGCGATCGGTCCTGGGAAAGCAGGTCTGTGAACTCTTTGCAGATTTGTCTAAAAGAAAGACAGCACAGTCGTCAGGTGTCTAAATTATCCTCTGACACGAACCGCGGGCAAAGGTGGATGCAGACATTTCAGGTGCCGGATCGGCTCCTGAATGGATTCGTTTCAGAAAAGGGAGCTGCTCATCTTAAAATGAACATGAACGGTGTTTTTGTTTTCTTTTTTTTTTTTTGTCTTTTCATTGAGTTGCTCGCAGTACTTAAAATGCGGCTCATGGGTTTTTGACACAGATTGAATGGGAGACAAAGAGTTTAATCTCTGTTTCATACAGGCCGCACAGTAGTGTTTCGATCGTGTAGTGCCTGTGTGTAATTATGATCTATATCAAGGCCTGTTGATAAGTGACGGACAATATAGCGTATTAAAATTCCACACGGGTGAAAAAACATTTTCTTCATGAGATTCACTTTCCAATATCTATGGTTTCCAAAGTTCCTCAATATGGGTTTAACTCAAAAGGCCTCTTCACTCAGTAAACCCCAAAAGCCACAGACCCTTTTGCTGAACAATATTCACAGTAGAAAAGCTGTTACACTCATTAATACAGCTTTTTACATATTTACGTACAAGTGTAATAAACGTTTGTATTTGCTATAACACGAATGCAACTACATGCAAGCAAAAAGTATGACACGAGTCAGCGAAGCTCAAGCAGAATAAAACGTATTTTTATCATATAAACTGTCAACTGCAATTGGTATCACACACAGGATAAAACCAAATTCCATAAACAGAGAAAGCGAGCGATTAATGAAAGGCCCATAAATACATTTATAAGAAGTGTTTTGTGGTCAGATTATTTTTTTGGGGGGGAAATGGTTAAAATGAACTTACTTTGTTGCCAATAACATGTTTTTGCGCTGGACTTGTTCGTTTGGATCGGAATGCTGACGGTTCATGTATTCAGCTATAGCTTTGGCTGGGAACTCTGTCTCGCACACATAACCGAAGTCCCTGGCCAGATGCACGGCTTCTCCTAAGAAGAGAAAAAGGGGGTTGAGTATTTAATGTATTAGTCTAAATTGCTGACATCAAATACCGAGCAATTAACACTTCCACTTAACACATTATCCATCTAATTAACGCACACCGATTAGGCCTCGATGAGAAGTCCTGAACTTTCGGAGGCATCTCCGAGGCAAGGACGCTACCTGTGCATTCCTTCGCCCTCCCCCCCGAAAAAAAAAAAACGAAACGAAATGCGAGTTTTTAAATGACAAAACAAGTGTTTTAAGCGAAACACTGTGCTTAAAAAAAAACATAAGGGCGCGATATTAGAAAACCGTTAATACAACGTGTAATCAGACGCGCTAGGTATTGATTATCACTACTGGGGGAAAAAAGTCATCGTAGTTTAACGGGGAAGTTTTATAAACTCAAGTACACGGCACAGGCATTTAAAGAGGCTGCGTTCAAACCTTTTTTTTCCCCCTTACATACTTCAACCATGAGAATTCTGGGGTCACTCAATTGAGGTCCGCCTGTTCTGTTGATTTTTTTTTTTCAAGTCCTTTGGTTTTAATTTCCTGAACCAGTTGGTTTTCCACTGCAGGGCATCCTGACATTCGCTTCAAGTCCGGAAGAACGCATGCGCCAATTAGGGCATCAAAGCTTGAGCCCCGTAAACTCGTTTCCATAAAATGGAGCGGATCATAAACAATAAACAGCACTCCACTAAGTCACTGTCCCTTCATTAAACAACCGCCTGTCTTCGCCCGCCCCCCCGGCCCCCCCCTCGCAGGAGACGCCGTACATTTAGTTTGCGCTCATTAACATACGCAACCACATTTCAATAAAGCCAAATGAATATTACATTCAGGTCTTAAGCTGTAATGATTAACAGAAGCCACTGAACCGTTTCGGGATTTCACCTTTAAAAACCCACAGCTCACCAAATGCCACCGCGCGGGATAGCGATGTTCAATTTGCAAGCATAATGGATTTATTCTACAAAACACGCACCCCCCCCCATATTCATCGTGTTTATATGCATAGTTACCACAAGTATAAAGTTTAATTTATTTTAATTATTTACGCACTGGAGCACAACTAGACTGTCTTAATGGAGAATGCCTTATCCTTAGTTTGTGTCTTTTTTACAAATCAAGACAAAAGCCACGAACTTTTACCTTCTGAGCACAAGTGAAATGAATCCATACTCATTTAAAAGCACATCTCCGGAGCCCATTGCTTACCGTCGGAAAAGGTGCCCAGCTAACGCCAGTAACAACAATTAGGCGATAAATAATTCACCTGGCATGCTCCACCTCACACGTTCTCTGCGATACAAATTCTTATTTGTACGCACCATAAAATGCAGCGAACAATGTACACAGCGACAGTGGTAAAACAAAGTCACAAAAGCACACTGTAATCGCCATCATTCCAGTTTGATCTCGCTATCATTACCATCTTTGAGACGGTTACACGCCGTACCAGTGCGCAAATGGCACACTTGATGAACCTTACACACCATTTAGAAAGGAGAGGCGATATCAGTGTTTTAATGAATGCCAGGCACAGCTGACGTCACAGAAATAAATACCTAACAGCGTTACTTACCCTCCACTAGTGACGTCAGCAATGTAACATTCGCGGCTTTGCGTCTACCTGCCGGCAGGTTTAATCCGATTTTGTCCAGCTTTTCTCTTAAGGACCTCCCCCCATTTTTAGATTTTGCTCTGGGAGGAAAGAGAAAGAAATTACGACGGGAAAATGCAAGTTTTTTTTTCTGAAATAGCTCCTTATGGGTGACTTTCCCTCTAGAAAACCTCGAAAAAAGTCGCTGCTGCTCTTCTTACAGAAACACAAGTGCTCCAGGACTTATATAAACCTAGCCCCAGTGCAGCTCACAACGATAACTTGTTATTGGGGGACATGAGCAAACAATTTTCTAAGTCTAAGCATTGGTTTATGGATCACTTCAGTTCTCAGGCAAAGACTGTAAAAATTCTAACATCTTATAAACCTGTTTTAATTCACTAAGACGTCTTTTTGTAGAATGGATAAGAATAGAATAGACTAACAATAGACGACAGGCAATCAACAGTATCAAAACCGTGACCGTATCATCAGAGGGTTATATTGCTGTTGCTGTTACTACTGTTAAGAGTAATACTACAGCTTTAAACATCGCTACTCTCTTTCAAAGACGTCCGATTAACGCTTGCGATCATGCTAAGAACACATTCCTTATCCTTTACTTAAACGTTTATTTTGGGTTTTTAACATTATTTTACGAAATTGCATACTGGAGTTTATTTCAGGATCTGTTTTTTGTTAGTTTGGACTTAAAGCCATTAAAATGGGCCGCATTTCCGAATGTGGAGTCATCCTTTCACAACGGCAGCGTTTATTTTATAGTTTTCCTCTCAATATGGGGCGCCACAATAGCGCTGGGTTTCTGTGCTGCTGTACATTGGGCCGTGATATTCACAGGAGCCGCGATCATCAACTAATTGGCTACATGATGATGATGTCAGACACATTCTGTCTTGGAAACGACATCAAGTGGTCTGTTAATTACACCGTGTGTATGTAGGACAGTTTGATTCTTGATCACCTACGCGTACTATCGGTGCAAAAGGAACTGCAGTTTTTTTGTTTTGTTTTTTTTTTCCCTGGCAGGTTCCCATGCACACGTGAACTCGGTTCCCCTTCAGTGCTACAACAGGCACCAGCGTGTAACTCACCTCCTCAATACTCCTCCCAGCAAAGACGCATTGAGGCACTCAGGCGGTGAGAGACGTCTCTGCACTTCCGCCACTGTGACCTTGTACTTTGATGTGGAGCTGAGGAGAGACAGGCGACCCGGAACAGAACAGAACACTTCGTTGGGGTTCACCACACCGCCGAAAAGACCGTCCTTATTGATGGGTACTGCGGAGACGGCGCTGCTGTTATTCTTGGATAAGGAAACGGGACCTACAATAAGATAATGATTCGTTTTAGAAGGGTTTATGGCCCCGAGAAAAGAGAGCAAAAGCATTCATTCTGTTTTTATAGACTGGATTAAAACAGGGCAGGGGGAAAAAAAAACTTCACAGGTTCCTTAAAACAGCAGGTATCTACGGCACAGGTTTTCCTTCTTATGTATTTTAGGACACCAGCCCATCAAGGGAAACGACCCTCAGGGATCTTAAACTGAAACAAAAGTCGCTCGGCGCCCGGTCAGACTTGACTACCATGTAATTAAAACGACTTATTAAACATTTCATATTCCAAGGATGACCACATGGCAACATTCGTTTAAAAGTTTAACATAGTAATATTTTTCTTTTTTTTTTGGAGCGCATGGTGCTTTCTGCATGCGAAACCTTCCTAAATCTAAACTGGCTCTTGATAAAGAGTGCCAGAATAAATTACAGTGCGGCTAACGCAGACATGCACTGTGGTAGAACCCTCCTGTCTGGGTTGGGCTTTTTTTTTAAATAAATGCAGAAATCTAACAATATACTACTAAAAGACACATGCAGCCTGTCGAGGATTTAAAAAAAATCAAAATATTGGAACGTGTTTTTATCCACAGGCAGCACTCACATAAACACAATAACCACTGAAATGTAGTTAAGCGTGAAACAGCACACAAAATAGACGTGCATGACACATTAGTGTTAGCAAAGAGCCCAAAATACTGCAAGATAAAAAGTGTTTCATGCGTTAATTTATTTTTAAAAATCTTAAAGGCCTATATGACCAATTTAATCGGTCAAAATAGACTAAACTATTTCTCAGGACACAGGATTATGTTTATTAGAGTTTACACAGTTATTTGTGCAGTACAAGAAGTCTTTAAAAAGCCAAAGGCCTATCGCAGTTGTAGTACATGTTAAACATATGCACCCTTCGTTTTAGGAGACAACCTTTTTTATTATTTTAATTTGTAGGGACTGTGATTTTCAGTGGGTAACCGAAGACAAAGGGACTAGCAGTTTTGGATAGATCACATGTGACATTAATAGCTCAGGGGAGGCTAATAGATACAATAGGAGTTAAACGAACTCTTGAGATTACTAATATAAGAGCCAATTATCATGTTGACGTGGAAAGAGCATCTCTTAAGATTTATCCCCTGCACATCTAATTTGACTTGACAAAGGCTCCACATGCAGAAAGATGTAACATTAAACCTGATCATACCACGCTGACAGAGGGGTTAAGAACAATGACTGAATTCACACATACAAACACAGAAATGAACACACCGAAAAACTCTTGTAGTATCTGCGCATGATGCACTTTCAGTCTTCAAGATGTGGAATATACGTAATTCTACATTAATAGCGTGTGTGCTAAGAAAAAGTAACCTACTGTACATTAAGCAAGAATCCTGTTTCTTTACAAAATAAACAAGTGGGCACCCCATTAACAATAAGGACCTATGACAAAAGACTATCGAAACGGTAGCAAAATCCAAACAAGCTGAGAACAAAACTAAATTACATTGAACGTGTCGTTACGTCATTAAGTGTATCACACAACATGGTATCTGATGGACATCATTCCACAGTGAACGAAATGCACTTTTGCCACAGCTGAAGCGTCTCTCCCAACATTGGCCAATGAGTTCAGCACTGAAAATGCAAATTTCTTTCTTCAGAAAAAAAGCAAAACGCTGAAAGTGCATTAAACCCCAAGCGCGCCTTCGGCTTCTTCTGTCATTCTGCGTGTAGCCCGTATTTTATAACACTAAGCCTCAAATAAACCACAGCCGCTCAGCGTACAACAGCTTGTAGAAACATGTAAGGTATTTTGAAGGAAATTACTTACCTTTCTTAATTACAGTTTGGTCTGGGATGTTAATGCCTTGATCTTCAACATGCTGCAACATAATTACAGAAGAAAAACAACGTTAGAAGAAACAAGGAGGCAAAAATGAAATTCAACAGCAGTTGCTAGTATGAACTGTCTTATTCAACGAAATGTCGTTTCCTCTAGCTTGGTTTCAGTGCAGCCGGAAAGTAAAATGATATAAAAACACCAAACAAACAAACAAACAAAAAAAAGATAATAAAAATGAGATTATCTGAAATCCCCTAAAATTCCTGTTGTTTTCAAGTAGTTTTTCCTTACCTACATCAAGACATTTCCAAGTACATATTTTATACATTTTCATCAGAATGGGCTGCGCCTTTTTTAATTTAAAATTAAAATGGCCAAAGGATATTCTGAATAGCCGTGTTTACAAACTGGTAAGCATATTTACCAATATCTGATGATTTTTTTTTTTTAGTCTTGTGATGTAGCGCTTAGCCTACATTCCACAGGAACGGGATGTGCCTGTAATTTCGTGATGTGTGACAGACAACTGTTTCTACGCTTCACTCTTCTCGGAATTTCTGCTCTGGTCCTTGTGACTACTCTCACACAGTCCTGGCGGATCAAAGTTGTTTTATTACTGATATCATTGTGCCCTCTGCTCTCATCTGCAGATCGCGTGCTCCTGAACGAGCAAGATTCAACTGAGAATAAAGCAGTGTGCAGGATCGCCGGTAAAAGGCAGAAGCGCGAAATTGTCACATGCAAAACACCATCAGGTTTCAATTCGTTCAAACCCCAAAAAAAAAAATCCTTGATGCCCGTTTGTTTGTTTTTTTTTCCTCCAAAGAGGACACGATGATAATTCTGCCAGACTCCGGCAATGAAGTGGAAGGCGAAATACTGAATAAGAGCAGCGATATGTTAACCGGTATTTGTTCAGGATATAGATTACAGCGAACCGACCCCAGAAATAAACGCATTTTTGCACTATGAATACAATGTTTCCTAACAGATTTTTTTTATAGAAAAAGAAGAATACCCTAAAAGAAGACTGAACAATTATTATAATGCGGCTATCTCTATTATGAACCTTTTTTTGTAGAAATGAAAAGTCGATGCGAGTATCTATTTTCCCACTTCAACAATGGAACTACATTTCGTGCAAATAAAATATTTCATAGTTTCACGCCGGCATGGACTGCATCCCCCCCAAAAAAACCCAACAAAACAGGCTTTTTTGTTTTGTCGTAAAATAAGGTTTCCCCCTTTTCTCGTTTCCTGCACACCTTTTATTTGTACAGTGAGATAACACGAGAGAGGATGATGCAGGAGATGCGTCTCAAAAGACTTTCGAGAAGCAGAGCAGATCTATCCTAGACCGCTGCTGGCCCACCTGCGACTGGATAGGAGCTCAAAAAAAAAATGATAACGATTCGGGTGCGATTGATATCTGCAGATATTCTGGCTCTGCTCTCGGGGAGTTCTGTCAAACTCCCGCGGCGTGGGGCCGTCTTACCTGCACGTCTTCTAAAGAATGAGGTATTCCGTGGATGGGGATAGAGTCCGTCAGTCCAGAATCTAGTCCGTGACCCCCCGGTAGGAGGACTTCTCTCCGGTACTCTCTACACAGCTGATGGGGCAGCCCGCGGTGCTGATGCAGCAGGCTGCTCTCCTGGCTCTGTCTCTGCCCCGGCCAGCCCGGGTGCTGTGGCTGAGGCTGGGCGTGCAGTGGGTTCAGGGAGTAGTGGTCGTTGACGTGCGAGTAAGGGTCCTGAGACTGGGGGTAGATCGGCTGGTACGGTGGGGGGAAATACGGAGGCTGGAAGTCGGAGTTGGGGGTGTGGGAGAGCGGCGGGGCGCTGGTGTAAGGCGACTGACCCACGCTCCCCAGCTGGGGTAGCCGCGCCGTCCCATTGCCGGTCCCGTCGTGACGATCCTGGAAGGAGACAACGGTTAGAGACACGTTCTTGCGGGTTTTTGTCTTTCCTCCCTGTTCTTTCTTGCGCGATAAAGTACACCTCGACGGTCGTTTCTGGAACGAATGTCAATTGATAAAATTACAGGAAAAAAAAAGAGAGAGAGAGAGGGGCTGAAAATAGAGAAAGACAGATTTCAGGTGCCTAACGTCCTGATCTGTTTTGACATTTTTGAAAAGCTGGATATTTTGGGCTGGTTATAGTGTATGAAAGACCTTTAAATTTCTCTTTTCCCCATATTAGAATATATACCCTATATAACACTAAAATATTTATATATCACGATTGGCAGATCACTCCTGAATATGAGATAGGCTTTGCATAGATTTTACGGCCCCAGCGTTTTTCTGCTATTTTATTACTATTATTACTAGGCGTAGTAGTAACAGTCATAACAACACTACACTAAATAATCATCATAATCATAATAATAATAATACAAATAAAAAGATTGCAACAAATATCAGCAGAAGTGCGTGCGAAATTGCACTTTACAAATAAGCAAATAATATTTCTATATTTTTCTAAAAAAATCTTAAGTATTTTCTTTACAAAGGGGACGAGGCACTTCGAAACTGCCAAATACTGTATGAGAAAAGTAACAATTTCGATAGATCGGTTTTCTAAACAATTCTACAACCATTCGTAAATGCTAAAATGCGGTGAAGACGTTCGGAGAAAAAAAAATCAGTTTCATTACAAAACACAATAATACAAAAGTTTTTTTTGAAAAAGCGAGGCTAAATTCTAAAAAAAAAGAGCCAACAAAAGGAGTCTAAATGCCAAACGAAGTCTTGGGATATATTCTTTAATGCAACTCACCATCGCTGAAAAACTGTGCACTAACATCTGCGAAGCGGTTCGAACAATTCAAGGTGTAAGAATTTCAGAAAAATACGAGATAAAGCAGTAAAAATAAATAGAACAAACAAAATAAGCCCAGATCAACACTACTGCAAGATCACAGCGCCAATGTTCATATATGCACCTCCGAAGCACAATAATCCATCAGAATTTGGTTAAATTCCTGCCGCCCTTCATTTGGGTTAGAAATGCAGTATTTTGTTTCCCTGCAGATTATTATTTAAAGTTTTCTTATATCCTTCTTCTGTCTTCCCGCTCTATCACTGAGCTGCTGCCTCACTTGAGCTCATATTAGCAGAGATCTGGTTCCTCTCTTGGATCCCTAATAGCAGATATTCATGACTATTAATATTACACGAATACTTAATAAGGGAAGAATGGTCGGAAATCGAGCGTGAAGCGAGGAAGCAACTCAAGGCAGAGTCTGTACTAAATGACGTCCATTGAATGAAGAATCAGTGTATCTAATCAGAGATGGAGAGAGAGAGAGAGGGGGAGAGAGAGGGAGAGAGACAAAAAGAGGGGACATTCTCTCGCGTCTGACGAATCACAGAGAAGGGGGAACATTTTAAAAGGTTCGAGGGCAAGCAAAAGTGAAAGAAATACAGAATGAGGGGAGAAAACAGGGAGAGAGGAAGAGGCAGGGAACAATGAGCACCTCTGAGTCTTGCGAAAATCCGGTAAATGCTAAGGGCACCTCGACTGGCACATTTTTAGTGCTTGGAGAGCGGCCGCCTGCGCTCTCTGTCCCCTTGGTTTTGAGATCAGCTTCAGACGGTCCGCGCCCTGTTGTTCTCCGGGCTTCACTGATGGATTCATCCATGGCTAGCCGCGTTGAAAACCAAACACGCCGGCACTGCTACAGATTTAGGCTCGGAGTTTAAAAACGCTCCGCAGATCTCGTTCGTCTCGGCTCACTTTTGCAACAACAACAACAGCCAAAAAAAAAAAAAGTCCACTCCCTTCCGAGCCTACTTGCGCGCTAGAAACGCTTGAACCGACTTGAAAAACACAGTCCGACAAACAGGTCTGCCTTTGAAAACACCGTTTACACAGCTTTTCGTCGAAAAAAGATCGAACTATTTCCCCGACAAAAAGAGAAAAAAACAGAATCCAAGCTGGGTAAAAGTGAAACCATCCAACATTTGTTTCTTCCAGCTCCTGGCGTATCGCGTCTTCTAGGCTCTAGCGTAAACCCGTTTGACTGGCTGTACAACTCCTAAACAACTCCCAAATATTACATACTAAACTTTCCGTATCTGCTGACTGAATAGGGTTGTAATAACAGTCACTTAGACCTTACTGCTCACACAAAAACGCCACTCGTTAAAACTACAGCGATAATCCTGCGCTGGAAACGAAACAAAATAGGATTTAATTCAGCCGAGATGGACTTTGGAAATGGGAATAGCTTTTGTGTTTAAATAAACATTTTCAGTTTCAGTTGAGATGGCTATTCTTCATAATTTTTATTATATAAAGAAACCAAAATGCCCGACAGAAAATCGCATGAGTGTTTAAAAATAAGGCAAAACGTGCAACATTTTATTCGACCGAGAAAATGCCATATAAATGACTGAAATACGTTTTTCAAATGTTTGGGGAATTCGGAAATTTACGATGAAATTAAATTATTTTTGAACTGTTTTTCGAATCAGTGAATCTTCGTGTTTAACTTCGGGATCGTACAAATCACACATTCAGACATAAACTCAAGCCGGAGTGGAAGTCAAGAATTAATTTCTTGTTGTTATTAAACACCACTTCTTAATAGCTCTTGTAAACGATAATAATAATTGTAGACTCGTTTTGTTTAAAAGGTGTAAATAAAACATAAAATTCAACTAATTTGCTTCAACACAGTGTACACGAGAACGTTATGATCAATGTAATGACAACACATTCTTGATCAAGACGGATTTTTAATAGTTTTATAACGCTTCACATTTAACCAAAATATAAATGCTTCTTTATATATAGTCTGTTTCTGTTGTGTGCATATACAGTATATACCTGCAAACATACACAATCTTTTTTTCCATTTACAGAAGCCGGGATACGTGCGAAGTAAGATTATGATATCTAATTTTGTTTTGAACACAATTTCCCCAAAATGTGTTTTATACAAGAAACCTTGAAGTTTCTAACTAAACGCCAAACACAGTTAAACAAACACACACACGCCAAGAAACACGAACTCTTCTTATCTGCCAATAATACAAGCGTAATGTACTCAGTTTTTTGGAAGGATGAAGAAATATATATATATATCACAATAAACGACCTCTTACCTCACAGTCTTCGTATTTAATATTATCCGTTAATTTCCAAAGCATTTTCATGGGTTGTATTAAGAGTTAAGATGGGGTTTTCCTTGTTTCACAAAGTAAATGCTGCTGCACAGCTGAAATTATTTGATACTCGAGCTCCTTGTCAGCGCTCAGAGATCTCCCTCTAATGGCCAATGTTAAGAGTCCAAGCTTCAGTCCTATAATAACCCGCGTTCCGTCATTACCATATCAACAACAGCTCGATTCTCACCCAGACGTCTCCAGTGGACACAGGTAGAACTCGGGCAAGATTCTCAAATCGAATTCAATCAAGTTAAAAAAAGTCCCCCTGCATCTTGATTCGTTTGTTCCGTCACCAATTATACAATTGCTTTTTTTTTTTAAAAAAAAGGCTCTGGACTACATATTTAGCTATTTGTATCTGTATGCTATCCGCGTTAATAAAGATGAAGGCATTTTAAAGACAAAATAGCGGAATCTCTCATTGGGGGGTATTTTCTATGCTTATACATTGGTAAACAGGCTTATATTTAACATAAATGATAGGTTTACTTCGAGTTTTTCGTAGTTCTAAGTATGGAATATAGTGTTCATATTTCTCCTTTTTCCTTTTTTGTTATCTATGGGAGTTCGTTCAGAAACAACAGCCGAAAGCAAATTAAAGTACGGAAAGATAAATATAGTAAGGGGTCTTTGCCCTTTCTAAGACGCATACATTGATCAGTATGAGAGTTAAAACACTCGAACCATCGCCCATGAGATCAGGGAAGCCAAAGTCAATGATCGTGCGCGTATGTAAGGTTTTTAAGACGTTTTTCACGTTATTTTCTTCAGAGAGTGTGCCAACAGCAGCCTGAGCGAAACAAAAACACGAGATGTTGTCCCCTTTCAGACTACATGCCTGAATATTCTTCTCTTCTTTAAATGACAAGAGAGTTGTTTTAGTCCTATTGAGGATCAGGAATTAAGAAGCAACTTTCTCAGTGTCATGCAAAACAAGGAGACTATGTTAAAGTCGACACATAGGGTTGGAGTTTTAACTTCGAGACATTTGAAGTTTTTTTTTGTTTTTAGATCATTTACACAACAAAATGGATTGTTCTAAATTTGAAAGCAGAACTGCGAATCACGGGTTCAGCTAAACGCATCTGTAGCAACACCCTGTGTTGTATACGCAGAAACAGGTAGTTAAGACTAAGGCGTTGACCCTAATAATCTTTATTACCATTTTTGGCGGAGCAGTATCTAAACTTCAAAACCTGTTGTCATTAATGAAGGGATGACAATACTACAGTGGTAAGGCCGCAATTAAGCAACCATGTGTTGGAAGAGGGGCGGGGGTGGGAGAAGGCTTGTTTTAATCTTTAAGTTAAAATTAAACTGTCACGAACAAGTGTTTTAAATAAACCACGACTGACTGTGATCAACTGTGTATGTGGCGGAGAATGGGACAAAGCCGCCAAAAGCCGCAGAAACATATATAGATCCGTACATAACATTACATGCCACACCGTGATGCCAACTCCTAAAATGCAAGGTATGGTGCAAACAGATATTGAATTAAAAAGCACATTCATTTTATCCGACATGCCCGATTGTCTTCACAAATTAAAACTAGCAGTATCGTTCGACACTATTCCCAAATCCATTTTCATATTTCAAAGTACGAGTTTTCGGCGTTTTAGTTAGTATTCTTTTGCATTTTGAAGACTAGAATGTAAAGTTTTTCTTGTATGTTCCACAGTTCACGACTTTCAACTTGAAGTGTCGATTTTCTTCCATTTCTGACCCCGTTTCATAATACTGCTAGAACTGCGAAACCTCGTTCAAGATGTATTTGACATATGTATTTGAATTTAGATCTGAATTAAAAAAAAAACAGAAATATAACTCCAGAACTCATTGTTCACCCTTTTGTAAGCACGTTATTGGCTATTTTGTTTCCCAAAATTAAAACGGAAAACGTTTGCTTTTCATCACAAAGATTACCAGCCCACCAAAGAGACTATAGTTGTACCTTATTAATATGATTTTGCGTGACTGCACATGAAACGGGCCTACATTACAATTACTGGGCAACAATTTAGATATATACTATTAAATTCATGCACGTTTAAAACTAAATATTTGTTTTACTGTACTTGTCATGGTTTCATAATCTTTTTGACCAATTCACTTCAGCCGGAAGGCTAACTTCTTTGTGTGCAAATGAAGGGGTTTAGAAGGAAATTTAGACAGAAAACGGTTAAAACGTTTCGGTTTATTTTTGAAAGTGCGCTTTAACTGGTCCCGACCACACGTGAATTTACATCCCAGTGTTTTTGTTAGTGAAATCATAATACTGTGTCTGAAGACAGAGCATTTCACCTTCTCGAGCATCCAACAGAGCACATTCAAGAGAAGTTCATACGAATTCGAGTACATACGCAATCCGCAATCCTTTTGAATTAAAAAAAAAAATCATTAACTTTGTATCTGCTGCACTGAGTCACGACTTGCCGCCTCCCCAACAGGAAAAAGCGAAAAATGGAAAGTTACTGAAAGATTGCTATAAGATATCAAGAAGAAAAGACAGTTGTTTTAGAGTATAGTCATCGTATATATATATAATATTTTGCTGACGCGCTGATGTATTCAGACAGTATTACACCTGTGCGCAACTATTCTCCAAGTGATCCGAAAGGCAATAACACCTACCTGCCAGTCTCCCATTTTTGCCATTACTGACATTATTTAGCCTTCTTATTCTATGTGGCGATCACGCAGCGTGGGATCTCCATGAACCTCTGATCTCAAAGACAATTTGTGCTTTCACCTGAACGGAAACATCTCACCTGGTCATAAAAAAAAAAGTTGGGTGCTACCTGGGTGGCGCATGCGCAGTCCGCCGGCCATGTAACACTTTTCCCCCCTCCCGAAGTATTAGAGAAAATATAACCAACTTTCTAGCTCGTCGGCCTCAAGGTCTCTGAACCACAACCGGTCACCTTAACGCAACTGCACTTTCGGGACCAGGGCAAAGGCAGATGTTGCCCACTTAGAAGACTCCGCAGTTCTGTCGGAGAGTGTAGTACGAGAAAAAGGGCCAAACCGCGTTCTCCCCAAATAATGAGGATTTCGGCCAATTAATTCACATGCGTGGTGTTTGTTTGTCAAGGGCACGCACGACAGAAGTGCAAAGCTTTTTTTGTTCTTCAGCGTTATACCTGCTGCTCGCGGTTTTATTTAGTTACGACTTGGTTTGGCAAATGGCTGCTTTCTCCCTTTTCCGTTTATTCCTTCAACAGCTGGATCTTTTTTTTTAATAACCCGAAAAA